CAACCTAGGATCTGCTTGGAGATTAGAGTTTTGGTCTCCCACATTGAATTACGTAGTTATGAAGTTTGACACGAGTTTTGCCGTCCCTAACGTGGTTTGTTCTACAGCTAGACACTGGCACATGGCCAACCATGCTTTTAACCTCCCAAAACACTTCGTCAAATTACTTTAACGTGAATTATTACTGTGTTTTTGCGCTTAAAACAAAGTTTATAACACAGAGGGGACTGGATTATGGTACTACGATATGGAATTGTCTGGAAAAAGCCAACCAGACGGACGCATCACACATTCTCCTGACTCATTGGACAAATACACGTGTGGCGTGAGTGAAGTGTCTGGCCTGAATACATGATCACGCCATTCGCAAGGACTAAGAACTCTAAGCTTAGCTACTTAGTAATAGTGTTTCCTTTAAGAAATAAAGGACCAAATTTGCATGAACACCCTTGACTTTTCCGTAGCTGCTGCATATCAACATGTTTTATGGTATCCACTGCGCCTAAGACGTACACAGTGACTTAACACTCTAGGGGTTTCTAAGACAAGCCACTTCAAACCTTCAAGTGTTTTGGAAAATGTTATGCCGTCTGCTAACTTATGCCGTACTTCCACTGTGATTCACTTCGTAAGCTCTGGGCGGACACTAGTAACGGTAAATTGAGAGCTTCATTCTGGATGATAAGCCCCATAGACCTTCTGTCCACCAGACTAAAAACGTAGGTTCAAAATCTAGCCAAATATGGGAACAATCGGTCAGGGGAGTTAAGCCAAGTTTCCCCGACTTTAGATTGAGGACACCCATACAAAGACGTTTTAGTTTCTTTTCCATATATTTCATTTATACATGTTGAGTGAGTTGGGATGTTACTTAACTTGTATTCTACGTTAATATCCAAGCAGATCTTTTGTTGGCCACAAAGACAGTATCAAATTGGCTAGGCAGTATCCATTGGATAGACTGTATACTGCCTGGCCAATTTGATACTGTATTTGCTACCACCGAAAGATCTGCTTGGAGGCTATTCTACTTTTTCTGTTTATGTTCGTATACGTAAATGCAGTTTATGTGATGTGTCGTGTCGTGTCGTGTCATAGGAACATTCGTTCGCTCGTCCGTTCCTTCATTCGTTCGTCATCTAGCTGCAATTCTCCGTCAGACCGAAAGGTGTCGAGTTTTGTAGGTCAGTGTGACCATCACCAGGTGTGTGCTGGGACGATGCATTGCTACATGACAAGGGAGGAACTCACAATCAAGCGCACGCACGCACAAACGCACACATGTACACACACACACACACACACACACACACACACACACACACACACACACACACACACACACACACACACACACACACACACACACACAAAGAAACAAACACGTACAAACAAACGTAAACCCGCATGCAAATAGTATAGCTGTTGTTAGACTTCCTCTTAAAGTTTATCACGGCAAAGGTCACTCTCTAAAAGCTTATTCAGTAAACACTGCAAATCCAATATTGTGGTTGCCGCAGTCACCTCCCCACCCACTAATGGAACATTCTACTTGTCAGTACGACAGTATGTATGCTGGACCAGGCCATGTTGTACAGTAGGGGAGTCAGTTGTGTCTTGTTAAGTGAGCACGAAGCGGACCCGACCCAGGACTGCTACCTGCCGAGAGTACAGAGTGTTGATTGGCCGAGCTGTGCGGTTGGCCACAAGTGCTTTGGAAGGCACCATTTGACTTTTGGTGAGGTAAACGTTGTCTGAAAATTCATTATTTTGAGCCAATTATCCGCCTCTAAATATACATAAGCAGAAAAACATGCATAAACATACGGATCTATATCAAATGTTTAGAGTGAATATATCAATTTTATGCCAGTAGATTTGATTTTATAACCATATGTTTGTTCTTGCTGTCACTGCTCACCCCTGTTCTGCTAAGTGGAAGAGTCCATGCTTGCATTGTTTCCGTGCAGGAGGCTTGCACCCAGTCGAGAGGCAGCACAAAATAAAGACAAAGTCTGGCACACGCACGGGCTAACGGGCCGGGCCGGCGTTCCGCAGATTGAATTGCTAGCGATATTGAATTTAGCGTGGTTCCCCTGGGCTCGCCTCGCTGACACACAGGGATGAAGGGCTAGCTACCCGCCAGGCCGTCACGGGTCTGTAGCCATCCGCTCACCGCGTGACCAGCACACCTTTCCTCGGGCCAGACGTGCGAGGATGGCGGGGCAGGCGGCGTGGTTCCTCCCGTTGTTGGCGGCGGGGCTGGCCCTGCTCGCCCGGGACGCAGGGGCGGCGCTGTGCGAGCCGATCACGATCCCCATGTGTAAGAAGATGCCGTGGAATATGACGAGGATGCCCAACCTGCTGCACCACAGCACCCAGGAGAACGCCAAACTCGCCATCGAGCAGTACGAGAGTCTGGTCAACTACACGCCCAGCTGTAGCCCCGACCTGCTCCTGTTCTTCCTCTGCTCCATGTACGCGCCCATCTGTACCCTAGAGTTCAGCCAGGAGCCCATCCGGCCCTGTAAGAAGGTGTGTGAGGGGGCACGCGCCGCCTGTGAGCCCGTGGTGCTCGCGTACAACCACACCTGGCCGGACCACCTCAAGTGCGACGACCTGCCCGTCTACGAGCTGGGCGTCTGTATCTCACCTGAGGCCATCGTCACTGAAGAGCCACCAGGTAAGGCACACTCCTCTCTCTCTCTCTCCCTCTATCCTTCCCTCTCTCCTATGTCTATCTGACTTTCTCACGTTTTTACATACATCAGTGTGTGTATGATCGTAACCCCACAGTGTAACAGACCATACACAAACGCATGGCCGCCCGTAAAAAGAACATCATAGTCAAGATACGAAGAAACAAAGAGAAAACCTTGTCTCACACAAGATACGCGATGTTCACAGCGTAGTGTAATCCAATGACCGGCTGAAGACTTGTGTAATTTTGTTCTCAATACCGAGACGGGTAACAAGAGATAATCTGCTTCGCCTCAAGTCAGCCGGAAACCTCAAGTTGTCCTTTCTGGTTTCCCACACTAAGAAGTCTGAAGTGCCGACCAGTTTACATTCTTCACAAGGTGCATGGAAAACCTTGAAACGGCTGGCTAAATTATACGTGTGCTTTCTAGTGTACCTTACAAGCGAGCATCATCTATTGCCACAACCACACCTTTCCATCGTACACGAACGTAGAAAACCTGCTTTGAAGAAAAGAATAACACGGAGAAATAGATAAACTTTAGGACTAAAGGTTTTTTACTTGTAATCATAAGGAGCGTTTGTTTCCCACCCTACAGCATAGAGAGAACAATACTGAAGAAAGGGAGTGGGTACAGTGAGTTGTTCAGCGCCTTTTCAGAGTAGATCCCAGCGGTAGTGTTTTTCTTTCATCTGTATCAATATCATTGTGTTGGCAATCAAGGCGCGAACAGAGCAATTGTGTTTTAATGGCTCATTCTAGATGGTTATCAAGAGTTAAAGCTCCGTTGGTCCTCCCGGCATTCTGACAATACTAACAAAACCAGGGAGAAGCTGGAATCAAACAATGCAATGTCAGGCTCCGCCCGTACAAGTGGCTCCACACCAGGCGACCGAAAAACGTCGTCATGTTTGGATGTTTTGATCCAAGCCGCCGAGACCTTGAATAAATCGGCTGTCGCAATGCGACCTTAGCAGAGCAAACTCTTGGGACGTGCGTTTGTGTCGTTCGGCCGGGCGGGATTTTTGCAGTGCCAGCATTGTCAGGCATGGCACTGTCGGGGCTGGACTTTGAAAACAGGACTGCATGCGCCAGATTTATTCTTCTTAAATCTTTCATGTCCGCTTTAAAAGAGAGGCAGGATACATATTTGTGTCTGAAACGTGCCGATTCGGTCTGCTTTCAATTACGGAAAGGGTTTGCCATGTTTCGCGACATGTGAGACTCCGGTGTTTAAACCTCCTCCAATGTCTTTTAAAAGCATTAACAGCAGAATAATGTCGTTAGTTGACAGACGAGTGAGGGGAGGGGGGGTGAATGTCTATTTCTGACATCCATCACTAAGGTGCGCAGATGGGCGCACGTCGCCACGCGGTAACGTATGGCTCGACTCTTGTTCGCCCCAGATATTTTTATTGCAAAATCCATTTTGAATTATTCCGCCGCACAAATGGTTTGGAAACATCCCAACTGGCCCATGGAATGCCTCTAACCGACCCCACGCCTACAGCGTTTTCCGGCCGGCATACAAACATGATATCATGCTCGCAGATTCCGACTTGAAGTTGAAGGACAGCTACATGGCAATATTTGGCTGCTATGAACGTCACCTAATGCCGCGTGTTTTCTTCATAAGTCTCTTATTACTCGACTAGACTGTACTGCTATAAGTTGACACCTATTCATCTCCTAGTGAAAACACAGAGAAACTCTAGTCTCAGAGTGTAAACTTGTAGAGAAGTCTCCCGTCCATGTCCACCATGGCGGCTTTCCCGTGAAGGGCCCTCCAGCCAGCCCCGCTCCACCGGCGTCTGTTGACACAGCTACACGGCGGTGTGCCGTGCTCTACTGGTTTCGCTCTTAATCCTCTGTCCTGGCGAGATCCCCCTTCGCGGCGGAACTGTCGGAACTTTAATCCCCTGACACACATAGCCGAATCTGCCCTCCCCAACACCATGGTTGGGAGTAGGTCTTGAGTATGGTTGGGTGAGGTTGGCAGTCAAATTTGACTCAAATTTAACTTAGATTTAATTTGGTTCTTTACTTCCTTGGTGACACATGGCCGAATATGCCCTCCCGAACACTGCTCAACTCCATGGTTGGGAGTAGGTCTTGAGTATGGTTGGGCGAGGTTGGCAGTCAAATTTGACTCAACTTTAACTTAAATTTAATTTGATTCTTTACTTCCTTGGTGACACATGGCCGAATGTGCCCTCCCGAACACTGTCGAATTCCCACCTTCCCAACCATGGTCGGGAGTATGGTTGGCTACTGTTCGGTTAGGCCAGCCGAATGTTTCAAAATGTTCAAAACATTCCGGTGTTGACGGGAGGTTGGGTCATGGTTGGGGGCTAGTTGGCTGTTGGTTGGGAGTAGGTCGGCAGTGGTCGTGGCGAGGTTGGCAGTCAAATTTGACTCAAATTTTACTTAAATTTAATTTGATTCGTATTCGCATTTAATGCAATATAAATTTATTTCGTCAAAGGGATTGTGTCAGAGATTGCGACCCGCTCTGGTTATTCTAATTAGGTATGTTGCTTGTTTAACAAATGTATGATCATAGCCGATATAACATCACTGTACTACTAGTATACAGTAATAAATTAATTTTGTAATTATGTATATGATACAATACGTGGCTGATAAAGTAAAATTGGAGATGATCAATCAAAGATACGTTAACGAATAAGCGATGTTTCCAAAATATTTAACTGAGAGTGCTTCAAGCAACTCCAGGTTTTTGTAGAATACACCATAATTGCTATTGACCTAAATTTGCACTAAGGCTCATCTTTTTAATCTCCAAGCAGATTCATAAATGATAACTCATAATTTGATCGTCCTCTGCCCCCGAATGAGTCTGCTTGGAGATTACCATTTTTTTGCGCTTTATATCACTCTAAGGAGACAATAGACAAAACGTAAAGTGAAAATCAAGGAGGTTTTATTCAACCAAGCCGTGTGTCTCTTTGGAGATTTGTCCGTTCCCCGTACATTTCACCTGACGCCTGGAGTCGGCTGTGTCACGCCAGTCGGTCAACATGTGTCCGCACCAGCCCGCTTTATCTGTGTTCCTAATCACCCGAATTACATTCCTCTTGAGCAGACGATGATGTGCTACTCGAGGGGTCCTTTCAACAGTACTTAGGCTTTAAATGGATCGGGAAGGCTGTCGTCCCGGGCTTGTCAGTGCGCCCGCTGCCCGTGCCTTATCTCTCCCTGTGCAAACACACCGCTACAAGATTGTAGGCGAACCGGCGACGCCGCGAAAAGTGAAAGGTTATCACCCAGCTACATTCCTGCGCGCGCTCAACCAATTAATCGGCAGCCTCATGATTATCCATTTTAAAGGGCGGGAAAACAGAGTTTTTTAATCCGGATTTGTCGAATTTTAATCCCAGCTATGTGCGCTAGCTTTCTGCCAGGACTTAGCGTTCTACTCGAAGATATTTGGTTTTCTCGATACAAGATACACAGTAGAACGCGCGGGAGAACGTTGTCTATCTGAACCAGGTAACCACTCTCAGCAGGTAATATCGTCTGACGATTTCGGTTGCCATGGAGACTCGGTTAATGGAAGATGTCGTGCTGGCGCCTTGTCACTCATCATTCTTACATCCGTCATGCCCCGGACATAAAAACGTCTCAGTAACAGGGACCGACGTCTGCATTCAAGTCTTAGCCTCTACCAGGCTTCGGGAGGCGGCTGGTGGAAAGAGTAGAGATCGGCCAAACTGAACTCTCTAGCAGACCGACTCCCCTAGCATGTTACCTCTCTATTTGGCCGATTTCTACTCTTTCCAGCCGCCTTGCTTCCAAGTACCGGACATGTACGTAGGAGTCTGAGTGTGGTTACCAAACCTATTTTAGGTACCAAGTCTCTTTTCACTACAGAAATATTACCTGAATGCGTGCATTTTTTTCTTACAGAGCTTTCGGAATCTACAGAAAATGCAGACATTAGGGAGCCGGGAAAGTCAAGAGAAAAGGGGCGCCGCAAACGTAGGTATCGAAAGTGAAGATAACAGATATATTTGTAAGATACTACTATTACTAGCCCCTGACTTTCATCCGTTAATCGTATAATCAGGTTTGTAAGTCTGAGTCACTAAATAAAGAGGCCATTTTTACAGAACCAAGTGTTTTATTCGGCCGACGTTTCGGTGACCGTCTGTCACCTTCCTCAGGGCAATTCTGACTGGTTCACATAAATTGCACTCATGTTGGCTGAAGAAAACGGCTGGGTAAAAAGAGTCTCCTTATTCTCCGACTTTCATGTAACTGGATGTGGTTGCATGTTGCCCGTCTAGATGGACGTCTAGGGCATTCATTGCAATTCCAGGATGGCAAAACTGTCTTTTCAAAGTCAATTTTCTGGTCATTATTTTGTTGAATCAATCCTATCCATAGCATACTGATAATCTGTAAGACAAAAATGCGATGTCGTTGATCATGAAGGAAAAAAAGGTTTGTCTTGTATCGTAGGCTGGTTGATGGTAGCCAAAAGATAAAGAGACTCACGTAGCCTGCTTTGGGCTATTTGAAACGCCCAAATGTACATGTACTACGAAATGTCAATGTCAGACAGTTATCCTCATCCAGAATATTTCTTTTTTTTGTTTTGCCGCCCTGAAATTGCATTGGATGCCTCTAAGTGACCAGAACTGTGTTTTGGGAGACTGTTAAAGAACCCACCACACGTGTCGAGTAGAGTTAGGGGGCCGGTGTACAAGTGAACACGACGAGTGACCGTCAGCACGATGACCCAGTGTTACTGTTAGTCAAATTTGTGGTTCTGAAAGCCCGATGCGTGTCAAACACAGGCAGTGGTAGATATCTCACACTAGGCTTCGTCTTTGCCGAGTCAATAACTGGCTTTAAGTTCTTCAAACATTTGGTAAAACAGAAACAAAACAGGGTGTAGTGGGGATTTTCATATACCCACATTCTGTTCTAACCATAGACGAGGAACTGAAGGCCCAGTCTTCTACACACCAGTTTTACGTTTAAACAAATGTGTTGGATATCTGTAATTTGTCTGAGAGTAATTATCAGGGTGTAGAAGTACGACAGCTTGGTAATAACACCCTCTGTGCATGTCCTGTGGCTTGACGTGCTTACTGTCAGGTGGTGTTTAACCAGGATAAACACCCGGTGAGAATACCCGGGACGGAAGGGCAGGGTTTCCTGTGAATGACGTTACGTTTTGTGCAACTATGTGTACTCGATCAACAACCGGAACAGGCAAGTCTTTCATTGGCGAACTTGGCGAACTTTTACCAGCTTTACAATACACGATGCAGACATATTAACGTATTGTAAGAGCATGAAAATAAGCTATAACCACACTGAAAAATCAAATAACCTTTTTCATTTCGATATCTTTTAGAAAAACGATGACAGATATTCTCAGAATGTCAAGAATACGGTTATCGAGGACAAAATTCTAGTAAGGCATTGATATAAGTGATCTAAAATACTTTTAACCTAAAAGAATAAGAGATATGATATACATTTGAATTGCTAACGTCGGTACACGTAGAATTGTACCCATCTAAGATAAATGTCGTGGAATAAGGATGGGCACAGAGACAAATGTTTGTATTTTGAAGGAACGTCGATAAAAATCTAGGAAGCATAGCTTAACGATTCCTAGGAGACAATATTGCAACTTTTGGCTACTAATGCGGCAAAACAAATTAAGAAAACCATCTCAGGAATATCATTTTCATGACGTCAGCTAGCAACAGTCATCTTTTTATAGACCCCCATGTGGGTCTTTATTAGGGTGGGTCTGTGATATTTTGAGTTCGCGACCTTACATCAATATTCTACTAAGAGTGTCATACAAAGAGCGCAATACGTGCAGAGGTTATGATATAATGTACACACAAACTGTACTATTGGACGTATTATAGACACGTGTGACACATGTGCCTAGCTAGGGAACAAGTCTGTATTTAATCATTAACTTGTCCACATGGTGCATTCGTGTAAAGGCTGTACCTCATTTCTCTTTATACATGTACGCCTCTCAATTTTTTGCTTAGAAATACTGAAAATTCAAGCTGTACGTCGATGACGGTTAGACATCTAGGTAAACTACATGTATATTCAAAGAAAAAATAACAAAAATCGTCCTTTAAAGTAATATGAGAATATCCTAACTTTTACCGTCACTAGTCACTATTATGTACAGTTCTGAGAAATATTATGGATTTTTGGTGATTTTTCTATAAAAAAAAGGGTGTGGCCTTTAGCTTTTGATTGCGCCATCGATGACATCATAAAGAAATGAATAAATTACCCACTTGCAAAAAGACACTTTATGGCAACATCTCAAAGTCCATACTCAATTGTAGTATGTAATGTTAGAAGACCCAAAAGTCCTCACTCAGGCATGGTTATTTCCCCACCTTAAAACTCTACTACTATAAATCACGGAGAATATTTCCGGACGTTTCGAGTGACATGCGCTACTCTCCTTCAGCGTCACTAAAGTGAACTGACGGAGCTACTAAACATTTATCACAAGTTAGGAACTGGAAAAACCGTTTGAAAACGACAAGGACACCAGTGTTCTAGCCAGGATTTTTTCATAGCATAGTGGTCAGGTACAGAAAAGCAACTTTCGTGGCGCAAATCACGCATTGAGCCGAAAAATTTTAAAACTCATAACCCCCTGAGACACGTACTATTTCTTGTTTAATGTGGAACAGATTTTGTGAAGTTAAGGTTTTCCCTTTGCTATAGCTTCATTCTAAAGTTATAGTTTCATTTTTTGCAAGATTTATGAAGGTTCTCCCTCCCACAAAACCCTATATATGTATACTGGTTGAAACTTAGCATAGGGGTGAAAATTATAGCATAGGGGTAAAAATTATAGCATAGGGGGTCAAAATCATAGGAGGCCCTATGCTAAAAAGGCCTGGCTAGAACACTGGCCACTGTCCTGAGTTTCACTGTCACAGCTTGAATTATTATTGAACAATTCAAGCTGTATTTCAACAGTTCAGATGAACCGATTCTGTAGTTTATATCTTTTGGCAGTCAAGCATCGCGCTCTTCAAACTCACAGGTTCCAAAGGAAATAAACACAGCCCAAGATCACGGCGGCTTAAGTACATTAACGACAGTATCGGCTATCGGGGATGTTCTCTGAAAGTGTAAACGGGGTGTTGTGGGTCTGGCCAGCCGCAATGCCTCACGGAAACATGAGCCAAGGTAAAACTGTTTGTCGTCGGACGTTCGCTGGATGTTTGACAGGGTTCACACCGGTTTGTGGTGCGGTTAATGCGGTCGGACGATCATTTTTCCGCGGTTACAACTGCCCCTCCTCACGTCAAAACGTACACGAAAAACGTCGCCGTTAATAATCCTAATTTGCACGATTTAAACACTAATAATCTACATCACACCGCTAGAATTACAAAGCGAACAGTTTACCCAGTGTTTGAGTAATTGAATTTAAGCAAAGAAAAGATACGTTTAGACACATTATGTAAGCACCGACCCTAACATAAAAGATACAGTATAACGTAACGGGCTGTGTTTTTACATACAGAAATCGTTTAGAACGGCGAGCGTTTACAACAAAACTCTGAGTTCGTGCCGAGTATTTCAAGTTTGCCTGGTATGTCCACCTGCATACAAATGCCGCATTCCTGTAGTATTTTCTGTAAGGGTACACCTTGAACTGCTATTCAAAGCTACAAAAGAGTAGTGTGTGTAAACCTCGTGGGTTTGTAGCCATATTTCTTCAACAAGTTGTAAGCTGGGATCCAAGTTTACAGTACTGCGTAATACGTCAGACCTGGTTATAAATGGGTGTGAAAATGTAAACGGGAGCAAAAGTTGCTCAGATTGGCAAATGTTCCTTTTTTGCAAATTTTAACAAATGTTCAACGTATTTCGTCCCTTTTTTGTGAAGTTTGCCGCCAACTTTTCGTCCATTTGGTGACCGTAGTAGTACTATTTGATAGTCAAAGTAGATTGCGATTCTAGCACTGTATTGGCATGAAAAGAGTCTGTTCCTCCTCTAATGATAATTTCAGCGAATGATCTGCCAAACAAGATGCAAAGCAAAATGACCACGTTTTGTCTCCAATTGCTTTCTGTTGTATCCAGAACCGTGTCTGCCTAGTTCTATGCCAATGGGTTAGGGTTAGGATCAGGCATGGTTTTGGGTAGTCTCCGCGTATCCAAGAACGTAGATTTGCCTCAGGCACGGTTCTCGATACGCGTAGACTGTCCAGAACCGTGCCCGGGTATGGTTCTGGATAAAGCACGGTTCTGGATACAACGCCATCCCCTCTCCCTTTCCGACAGCAAGCAGGCTTACATTTCGTTACAACTAAGGGTAAACTGTGGGCATTGTTTCCTCACAGTTCTAACACGAGAACAATACGACCCAACTTTGTTGACACCACAGGAGGACCAGGTTTACAGAGGACCGTCACCACACACATAGAACACCCAATCAGCTTCAAAATATCGCGCTGACTGACCAAAGCAATCGTAGTGGAGAGGGATTAGGTTCCTGAAGTCTGGGTGGGCCAGTTATGGCTAACGTCTTCGTACGTCTGTCAAAAAACGGCTACTTTTTCTTGCTTCGTGTTTGATGCCTCGGACACGTTCAGAAGGAACTGAGGGCATTTTCCTGTTTGTTTTATGGACGAGAAATGGCCTGTTTTTTTCGAGGTGTTTTTAGCAGCTGGAAAATGTTATTTTCGATGAAGTTGCTGTACCTTATACAATTTCAATTTCAAATTTATATTCTGTGTGTCTATAGTACCAGTACCCTTGCTTGCAGTTTTTTTCTTTTAAAGCTGTACGTGCTTTGGTCATAATAACAGCAATGTCTCCTATGCCCGACATTATACGAGCATTGGGTATTTTGTCGCCTACTCCTCAATGAGGACTCTTTTAGAATAAAAGACGAGACAGACGAGTTTCTAGTTTCTCAGTGATATCTTTAAGCTGAACATTAATGAAACAAACAAAAAATTGATCTTTGCGAGTTTTGGTGACCGTAGACCTATAAACTTGAACAGAAAAATGTTCTCTGATTGTCCGTGTCCAAGGTAGAAGTTCGTATGGCGGAATGGCAAGGCCCTTGTCAAAAGTACCGCTCAAAAACGTCAGGGTCTGCTTCAAAGAACTAGACCTCAAGGTCGAACAAAAGTCACAGCCAACAAACCGTCTTTGACGCGAGTCGGACCGTGCATAATTATAGGGATGGCATACCATGGTCCACCGCCCCCGACTACCATTCACCGCAACGTCTCACGTTCCCGTCGGGCGGGACACAGGCTTCACACGCCGAAACCTCATCTCCCTCGCGCCGGTGCACAACACAGCCGATATAGTTGGTATCACTACCAAGGGACAACAAACAGAGGCGGAACAATGACACCGTGAAAGGGCCATCGAAAAAACTGTGTATGTACAACATCGTGCAGAAACACGACTCGCTGACCCCTAGTTCACACTAAATATTTCCTCAGAAAAGATGAAAGGGAAAGGGTACTTATGAAAGTGGAACATTCGAACTTTATCCGAACTTTTGCTGCCAAAGAGATGCGAATGCCTGCTTTGTTGACTGTTTATACGTTACATGGCCTGTGCAGTTTCCCACACCCTTAGCCCATTTTTCATGCCATTCGGACTGACAAGTTTTCAGTGCCGCCATATTGTTTCAGACGACTTTTTTTGACGGCTTGGACAGACGAATGACTTCAGGCGATCGGGTGGGCTCTATCGTACCTCACAAATCCCTCGTTGGGGCAGATTACGTCGGATTGTTTGAGGAAAACATGATGTACTGCTTCGTATACACACCAGGAAAGGTGGCGCCTAGTTCTGGATTAAAGTCAGGGCGTTGTTCTAGATCAGGACGAATATCGGCAACTTCCGTATAACATTGTTGAATCCGGTCGTGTTTCGAAAGTTAACTTCTGCCTTGCGTTTGTCCCCTAGCTCACCATGCCAATATCCCTCGGATTACCTGACTTCAATACGTCAGCTCAATACAAGCTCACAAACCGTAACTTACAATCTTAAAAAGCATATTTGGGAGGATACGCTTTAAAACGAAATCGCCATAGCATGATGCAATGGCGAGAGTTTGTCCGCACTTGTCCTCATGGTGTGTCACAGATGATGTCATATCTCCACACTTGCCCCAGAAGATAAGTTCTCAGAAGCAAAGGATTTTAGAATTAGGTGGCGCCTCAACATTGACAGACGATATGTGGCGCTTGGCGAGGAAAGCTATGTCGGTATGCTGGCGGGACGGTCGGAATTTCCCTTGACTTGTCCTCGGCGGAGGGACAGTCTTGAACTGCAGACGACCTGGCCTTAGTTACCATGGTAACGGCTAGAAAAACTTCCGATTCGCAAGGACGGACGGGACAGATAAAGTTCAATGGCTCTCTTTCTGCAGACCGACAGACGGTCCTCTGCTAGCCTCTACCAGGCTTCGGAAGCGGCCGGAAAGAGTAGGATTGGCCGAATAGACAGATAACACACTAGAGGAGTTGGTCCACTGAAGGAGAACAGTTTGCCACACTCGGTTTGCCAATTTCTACTCATTTCAGTCAATTTTGAAGCCTGGTAGAAGCTAGTTATCAGCTCATCCCCGAAAAAAAGCAGAAAAGCGAATTGAAAAGATAGAAATACAGAATTCTGACTCACAACCGCTAACGTATTGGTTGAACGACTGACTCGTTTCGATAGAGAGTCAAGATCAGCCTTACTGCTTCGTCTCCCCGAGCCTTAACGTAAAGCCCCTGTTATACATAGCCGACCATAGCCTCCCGACCATCTCTAGACCATGGTTGGGAGCTAGCCGTGAGCAGGATCATCTTGTGGTTGGGAGCTGGTCGGCGAGGTTGCCTACTAGTCGCCAAAAAGTCGTCTGTGCAAACCGACTATAAATTTTCCAAAATCAACGTTGGGAAAGCCATATTCTTGTTTGCATGCGATCAGAAGAGCGAACTGGAGCTAGATTACGCTGAAGTCGGGAGTTGGTCGGCGAGGTCGCCTACCAATCGTCAAAAAGTCGTCTGTGCCAGCCGACTATAAATGTTGAAAAATCAAAGCTGGGACAGCCATACTCTTGTTTACATACGACCAGAAGAGCGAACTGGAGCTGGATTACGCTGAAGTCGTGTTAAGGTCGTGAATGTGTGGCAGGGACATAAGGAGAATACTAAACTCACAACATGCCCCACTTTTGATCTACGAGTATACGTGTAATCCCCAGATACAGGTGGTCTGACTCAAGATAATGGTGATAGATCCCTCCCCCTAATGGGGCCATGCGTCTCGCACACAGTCGCCTTCTAATCAAATTAACACTCCACAACTCCCATGGACGGGATTACCACAGTCCATATATCACTGGAACGGAAGGTCCAACTCAAGTTAATTTTATGGACGGCATCCTGTGTAGCCTGCAAAACGATTGGCTAGAAACAGTAGTGTAGTTTACTGTCACAATTATTTCAATAAGTCGACCTAACGGCTAGTGCTACAACATATTTGCTATATTTTCTACATTTTGGACAAGGCAATAATTGATGAAACTATAAATCGCATGATGTATCTGTCTGCTAATTTCTTCCCTCTATCTTCTTCCCTCAATGCTCGCCTTTGGACCTAGAGGACGGAGTAGAGGAGGAGGACGGTACACTTTCTACTTCTACTTCTGCTTCTCAACTAAAGTCAATTTTGTTTTTGCTTCAAACTACTACTAGTAATGATGTTAGATGCTAACTCCGATGTCATTCTGGAATTCCTTTGTGAGTCTAACTAACTGCCCTGGGTACGATGTTCTTCCTTCCTTTCTCTTTACGCTTCTCGTTCCCAGAGTTTGAGTACGACAGTGACGTCGACGAGAGTGAAGAAACCAACGGTGATGACGTCAAATAACCATTAATATGTAGCTTGATGATTTGTGATATGAATAATATCATTAGGCTAGTGATAATCGCTGGTTATCCCTATCTGTATAGACTTTGAATTAAAATTTCTATCGTTGAACGATATTTTGATTGCTTCGGTATTGCATAGCTAATTGTTGATATTTCATGTTATGTGTATAATGGATATGCGATACAACGTATGCTGGTGTTAGCCTTACATTATATTTTGGTCTTAATATTGATCCTTTTTTTCTCTTTCCAGAGAAGTGCCCGAAGTGCAAACGACTGAAGGCCTCCTACAGAAACTACGAGAAGAAAACTTATCATTATGGTGAGTTTTACTGGATGCTTTTAACGTTAACTATCTTTTCTCAATCGCCTAATGAACTAGACAATGTCGTGTGTTTAAGATGAAGATGTTACGGTAAGGTGACACCCTGGCCTGTCCTTCTCACTTTGGTTGTTTTACAAGACAAGATAATCCCCTGATTATGGTTTACCTTCAAGATATAGTGTTCCCAAACTCCTAGCCAGAAGATGACTGATAAAATTAGGTCGCGGTCGGGGAGGGGAAAGTTTGGTGTGCCCCCCACCCACCCCGACCTCCGCTCCACACGGATTCAATCACTGTCGTGTTGGGTGGTGCAGGTCTAATTAGAACACAGGCCCTGCAGACGGTCTCAAGGTTTGTTGGACACGTTTGTGACAAGGCAGAGAATTTTCTCCATACTTAAATGTGTTGATTTAAGGTATAGACACGTTGGGGGAGGGGGGGGGGTCATAAACCTAGTTCCGATGCTTCGTGTCCCACTTAGTGTGGCAATGATTTTTTTCTGTTTGTATATTTTCATGTCCGAATGACGTAAATTTTGACGGTGAGCTCATTGCCCTAATTGTGTGTGTTTGTCTGTGAAATAGACGGGGAACATGGTTATCTTCGAGCTTTGGATCGGAGCTTGCGAAGAAGAGATTTTTTCTGTTTGTATATTTTCATGGCTGACGTAAATTTAGAGTCTACATTTCATGAATGAAAGACGTGAAGTTTGATACATACAAGTTTACGTTTCAATAGCTAAGTGCCATGAATTTGGACATGAGGTTACTTTGGGTCGGTACATGTAGGCGATCGTTTTCTAAACCAATTTCATGTTGACACCGACTTCTTGTCGTTTCTTCTTCCAAACCACGGCCACCCAAATTTTATTCCTTGCCAAGTGCAGCACAGTGCCAATACGTCAAACCTTGTTAGCAGTACCGGGGAATGATGGTTTCTCGGCCTTTTACAGAACTGGAGAAGTGGATTTCTTGTTGAGACGTTCTATATTCTGTTACGAGTGTTTGCATCAGTTTTTAAGTTCATGCTATCATAACAGCTACTGTATATCTTGCATATGAAAGAAAGGATGAAATTTTTGGATAGAAATCTGAATCAAGGAACGTTTTTAAGGATTTTTAACCATTGCAAGATACCTTTACCCTCTTAACAACTTTCTCAAGCTTCAAACAGCAAATTATTAGCATGAAAATCCTATATATGGAGGAAACTGCTACTTCGAGGGGGTTGCACACGTTTCGTACTCTCCAAGCAGAGGTTTGTGGGGAAGATCGTTACCTTTCTATATATGCCCCGTTTTTGTGGTGGGAGTAGCGACAGAAAAAAGGGACATACATAGAAAGGTAACGATCTTCCCCACCAACCTCTGCTTGGAGAGTACACGTTGCGTGCGGTCTGGTTCAGAAATGACGGCCCCGGTTTGGAGACGTGTCTTTCCCGTGTTCGCAGACACGCCGAGATTTCACGTGTTTGTCCAAAGTCGCTGAGCAAATATGGATACAGGCATTCTTAGATTTCCAACAGCAATAATCTTACAGGTTGCGGTTTGCCTTTGAAGGTCTGCGCGCTGTTAGCTCAAGACGCTCTCGTGCTATGGACCTGTCACTCACCGGGGGTTACTCCTGAGCAAAACTCCACGGTGGTTGTCGTCTGGCCAAAACTAATGTCAAGCCTTGTTTTCCCAGCCAGACAGATGCAGGACAGCGTTCTCACAGCCATTAATTCTCTTTATACACCGCCTGTCGGCCGCATAGACAGTTGGACAGGTCCTTAGTCTTGTGAACATGTTTGCTTTGTTCTACGGTTTCTCCTGGTACACAATGTATGTAAGTTAGAAAGAACCTAGGCCTGGTGGGCACAGAGAGACAGAGCACGGTAGTACTAGTATGTTCACACTGAGTACCGATAACACAACCATTATACCAGTCATCCTTCCCGCTTATTCATGATCTGACATGTTCAAACTCCGTGAGAGATTTAAAACCTGCTATGATATTCTTTTGAAAAACCAGAATTGTTGTGTTAAGATAAGTACACATGTACATGTGCGATCCCATGTATTTGCGTTAGTTTAGTCGCCTTACTTTCTGGTATACATGTACATGTATTTCCGCTTACCTTGGTTGGTTTGCATGTACATCTATATCCGTGCGATAGACAAATAAGTAGAAGACAGCAGTTTTCCGAAGGGCATGTAATTACGTTAAGACAAGAAACCAGAAAAATAAATGCTATTTGGTCTGACTGTTTATGTTAATGAACATACCCTCGTGTCCTAAAGAGATGTTCTACATAGAAACGCATGGCTTTCAAAGAAGGAATGGATAGGCCCTCGAAGTCTGTTAACATACCTATCGCGTACTTGGAGGCAATACTTGAGCGTTGAAAACCCTTGTATCTGGACTTTAGTGCAACCGAAATCTATTCTAGTATTCCTCGGACTGCAAGGTGTATATATTATGACAATACCAATATATCTAGAAAATCTACAGACTTATACATGTACTTTTACATAACATACCGACAAACAGGAAATTTATATCTTTGAGTACGTTTTTTTTACCTAGAAATCATGTCCTATACAGACGGCAATGCTCTAACAGTAAGTACCGTAAGTGGGGCATGAGCACGTTAAACTGGCGGGGTTCCAGACTAGCTTGGAGAGTTGCCTGGTACGTTTGGTATGGGGTAAACATGTCGGCTTGTCAGTACTTCTGCTCAGGTGCTGAACATGTCGCTATGTCGAGTACCCATCTTCCACTACTGAGTTGACCTGTAGGTTGATTGTAAAACTCATGGCTCAAGTAGACTGGGGGGTTGGGGTGGGTACGGCCTACGTCTGTAATACGCCATTGCTCTGCACTGGAAACGTTAGTAAGACGACCACCCACGAGACCGAGGAAAAGTGGTCTTCTTAGAGAAGTGGTCTTCTTATACAGAAAGCATGGTGACAAAGACAAGACAGAGGACAAGAAGATCACCGTAAAATTTCCACCCATTCTAGAATAGATTGTCAGTTGATCCAGTGACCCAGCTGGTGTCATTTTACAATGCGCAAAGATTGTCCTGGTGTCGAAGTCTATGGCAAAACTGACCGATTCCATCACCACGATTTGTAGCTAATAATTATCATCAAAAAACGTTTTCCGCCACATGCTTGACCCGGTCGTCATAGGCAAAGATTAGGCGATGTGCGGTCCCAAGGAGTGCCGGACGCGGTCGTGTTGGAAAAATAGGAAAATTGGTCGCCTTAGGCTCAATACTTACGTCTTAGCGTTCATTATGGCCAGATGTACAGTTACAGAGGTCGTCGCTTGGGCAAGTTTGACTGTATATATGTTCTGTTTATTTTCGTCAGATTCGAACCTTTGACGTTATCAGTGGCGGCCATGGTGTGTTCAGTGGTTCTCTTCTGCTTACTTAGGCGAAAAATTGACAAGAGGGGTGCTTTGCTATTTAGGGCAACTGGGAACAAAGCATAGGAACATTCAGCTTTGTGTCTATTTGTACGGACTTAGGACGTAAGCTATTCTTGGCCACTTACTTCTAAATGAGGGCACGCAACAGACTTACCTCTAATCCAACTCCTGTAGAAGACTTTGATCACCATTTCACTTTGTGAAAGCACGTTGTTCTGGGTCTGCTTCCAATAAACTTGCACCGCCCAATCCCACCATTTAGTGGTGTACTTTGGGGACAAGAAGCTTTCTAAGGTCTTTGAATGGTGTCCAAAATGTTGGATATATCTCCCGGATGCTTTCTTATGTAAAGCTGGCTGAACAAATCCCGGATCTTTTTATTTGGCATGATTCCTCCACATGTACACCTCAGCAGATCTACATGTAGAGTCTGTTCACAAGGGCGTTACGGTCTAGTTGGAACGGAGGATAGAGCTTTCTGTCTTATAAGGGCCAGGTCTGATTCGTCCCAGCATCTAGGTTTACGACTGCGAATTACCTTTGCCAGAAGGCTATGTTTTCGCGGTAGCGTTTGTATATATGTATGTGCGTATGTATGTGTGTGTGTGTTTGTGTTTGTATTTGTGTGTGTGTACATGCCTGTATGTTACTTCAAAAAGCTGTGGATGAATTGCCTTGAAACTTTGTAGGTGGTATGGGTAGGTCTACACTACATTTAGTGCACATTTTGGCACACTGTACTTCGTCCAGTGTGCCAAAATGTGCACTAAAGGTCTTCATTTAGTATTCACCACTGCTGAGGTTATAACGTAATAACCAGTATGAAATTGGAACTTATGATTGGTCAACCTCTTCTGGCTCTATGATAATGTGTTATAATGTATGATAATGTATTCTAATGCTTGTATCTCTGCAGTGTTGAGAGTACAGGTGAAGGGAACAGAGACCCGCGGCGACCAGATCGCCACCACTGTGACCGTGCTGGAGGAATGGAAGCACCACGCCATCAGCGTCCCGAAGGGGGAAGTGCAGCTCTGGACCAACTCCACCTGCAAGTGTCCAAGAGTGAGTGCCACTTCATGTTTCGGGGAGTTACCGCTAAATGAATTTTCCATTGGAATCTATGGTGAAACCATGGGAAAACAAGTAGTTCCACTCTGTGCAGAGCATACGGGTGGCACCCATCTCCATTTCTGTAACCCCTGGACCACACAGTTGTGCAAGCACTACCGCAGGGGGCTAGCCCACTGGTAGTGTTGTGTGTTGACCTTCCCCACACTCTTTCTTATAGATGCTGAGTGCTAAGTCAGAGAAACAGTATGTACCATTTCCAAAGTCTTTGGTATGACCCGACCTCACGACCTCCCAGTTACAAAGTGAGCACTCTACTGATTGAGCTATTGTACTGAAACACATTTACCTTTATTTCAAACCTCAAGTGTCACCCTCTTTGGTTCTTTGATGTTATCATAAGACGTTCTCTACTCTCTTCTTCCTCACGTCTCTCAGCTGAAGGTGGACCAGGAGTACATCATCATGGGATACGAGGACAGCACCAACGGCCGCCTGCTGCTGCTGCCGGATACCATGGTAACCAACTATTCCAGCAGGTGGCAAAAAAGATTCAAGGTGAGGATGTTTTTTAGACTAAGGCACATTTAATTTTATGGATGGCATCCTCCGAGGACCCCAAAACTAATGCGAGTGGGCAAATAAAAAAAAAGTCCACCTAAAAATGCTACAGGAATACAAAGCTGGCATTGCGAATTTCCGATTTCGCAGAACTACTTTTACAACAAGCAGGCACACGCTGGTCTTTATGAATCTGCATCATACTGAGTTCTAGAGTTCTGTGGAGCCTCTGTAGTCTGGGTACCATCCTCCGAAGTCACCGCCGGCCCCCTATTGTCGATAGCTACTATGGACTTGCATGAATCGTTAAGTCGTATTTGGTTTTCCTGAATTCGTCAGTACACGTTCGTTCCTAACCACATACTCCCTTGTTTCAGAAATGGGAAAGACGGCTGAAGCGGTCACCTGGCAGAAAGAGACGAAAAGGCCGTAAGAAACCGCGGTCAGACGATAGCGTGCAGGGAGACTCGCCGGATCCGGACAGCTCCAGAGACCGGAGAGAAACAGGCACAGGGGACCGCGACATGGAACCTGGGAACGAGAGTTGATCGTGAAGGGTGGGAGCCTGGGTAGGAGACTTATTGCCGACACTGCCGCATGCTTGAAACAAAATGACGTATGATGATGGCCAGTCATTCTTTCAGTGTTTTGATGTTTCTGGGAGTCCAATATGGCGGAGTAGAAGTCAGTAGACGTTAAGCGCTAACGTCCCAACGACTTGTGACGCAAGCTTGGTGCACAAATTCGCAGACACTCAACAGCAGAAGAGGAAAAATATAGCACTGATATGATAAATCATAGAGTAAGGACTCCGTCCAATACATACTAGTTGCTTGCAAGTAACGAGAGAGAGGGTATAAGGGGCAACAGATCTAGATTTGTGGATACAATGGCCTGAAGACCGAAGTGATTTTTATGGAACTTAGGAACCATCTTTAACACTAAGTACACAGATAACAGTTACTGTAATGAATTAGAGTTTGTATGCTGTTGTGGAAGATCAGGTAAGAAAGCTTTCTAAAAGTGCACCAAGTCAGAAAATTACGAAAATTGAATGCCTTGAATACGTATATATTCAATATCGAGTTTTTACTATCTTTCAACTTTGTTGTAAAAAACGTTTTGTATATATTCGCCGTACGTCCGAATGGCTTATTGGCTGTGATGAATATGTAGAAGTATAGAAAGGAAAAGAGTTCATGTGATATGTACAACGTACCACCTGTAAGTATGCAGTTCTCAGCAAAGCAATATTTGAGCTTTGCGGCTAAGGCAAGGCTAGGGATGTGAACGTGTGGCTTATGTGACGCTTTCTTCAGGTGTATGAGACATACAGGTAATACAATATAAAGCATGTAATGTTAGAATTGCTATGGACCTGCTTTAGAAGGTACACAAGGCCGTGTGTTGGACTCAGCTACCTGTGCTTGTATTGTGGGCTTGGCTTCTGCCACAACGAATCTTATGGCAAAAATAAAGTTACGACTAAGCTTAAGGTTGACTTAATTGAAGTAAGTTTGACAACGCGCGGTTCTTCGGCCGACAGGCCTTAGGCCCAACAAGCGGCACAATCTGCAAGTTAGCTCGATAGAACCCTACAAGTACGCCACAAAACTTCAGACAATAAAGTCAATAAGACTTCGACAAGCTGGCGTCTCATTGGATGTTATGCGCGCGCGCGTGTGGGTGTGTTTGTGTGTGTGTATATGTGTGTGTGTGTGTGTGCGTGTGCTTACGTGTATGTGTACGTGTGCGTTTGTAAATTAGGGAGGGTACGTGTTCTGGATAAGGCCAACTAGAGCTAAAACAGGGATGGCCTCCAAGATTCCAGACTATGCCTTGTCGTAGGTATTCCCTCCAGATGACACCGTTAGTTCAAGCCTCCTTCACCGGGGGCGATGACAGAAGGTTGCCGTCACTGAAACCCGATCCCACCTGTCGCCGTCAGGCTGTCAATCAGTACGGGACTATCACCGCCACCTTATCGGGGTCGCGAGGCATACCGTGGGCCGCAGCGGTGCATGCCGGGACCTTCATGCGTCCTGCCGCTGCCTCGCCACCTGTCAGTCCGGTTTGAGTGATCACCGTAATCTCCAAGCAGATCATACGGTGGCAAGGCAGTAGGAGGACACTCCTCTGGCTAATGGACACTCCTCTGGCCAATGGATACTGCCTTGCCACCGTGTGATCTTCTTGGAGATGACAGGATCCCAGGGACGAGTGACGGATACGTCATGGGTCGTGTGACGTCAAAACCGAGGACCATGGAGCTTGGGTCATGAGACGAGGTCTCTCGGTGACGTCAGTTGCCTTATAGGCTGATCGTGGGGATCGTCTGTACCGCCTGGCATTTCTTCGGTAAGAGTTTAGTTTTTCACGACACGACAAGCGTATTCTTGTCGGCTTTTTCAAAGTTTTTGGGTCGCCAAGAAAAAAAAAAGCTACAAAAGACGGATCAACACCTCTTGTAGCTATGTAATATGATGAAGAATTAACACACAACGGCATGTGACAATACAGAACCTTATATTTTAAGTTTAGAAAAATCAAGGACGATAAGTAAAAAAATATATTTGTGTGTGTGTGTGCCTGTGTGTGTGTGTGTGTGTGTGTGTGTGTATGGATAGTGTTCACCACCAAGCTAAGGACGGATTTGTTCGTGTGTGGATGGCGGTCAGCACCAAGGACAGGCACCTTTGCTTGTGCGTGGATGGCGGTCAGCACCAAGGACAGGCATATTTGTGTGTGGATGGCGTTGTGTTTTGGTACAACATAGCTGTGTGTGGATTAAGAATGGGGTGACAGTGTTCAACTTGACGTTTATTTGTCAGAGCCGGACTACACTATGTTTGTTTTTCCATAAAACCTAAGTTTTATGGTGGAAATGGTGGTAAGTTTTTCCGGCGCCGTTGTACTCTATCCCCATTGGGTTACCTTCCGTACCCAGATACCCGTATCTAAAGGTACGAGTTTGCGGATAAACATGTAGCAATATACTCCAAGTGTTACACCTTTAGCAGAGTAGCTATTTCCAAGAAAGCAGACAGAACTGACTGGTATAAATACGCAGCTCGTAACGCTATTAACGTTATTTTTCGTATCATGTCAGTGCACCTGTTCAAGCTCCACAAGGCTGAATTAATTACCAGGTTCAGACCATACCATAGTTTGTATACCAATTCTTGTTGTTACAAACGTCAAATTTGACACAAAAAAACAAGTGCATTATATTATGGCGAATACTAATTTCTTCATGAAGTATTGGAGTGGCGAACTTAGAACTGTCAGGGTACGCCGAGGAAGGAAGAAAATTAAATAGAGCCGTTTGGTACCCCTGTGTAAGACATACTTGGCATAGTCCATTTTGTCTGTCGGTTGCTGTCGTCACGGAGGGAAGGCTTGAGCTTCTTTTTTTCAACTTTTTGGGTAAATTTGTGGCTTTTGTTCCGCAAAATTTTCATTCTAGGATGTAGAATGAACCTTAGAGATGTTTCCGTGGAGAAATTATGCCATTTTCTGGATGGTGGAGGGAGAAAATGCGTATTTCCTGACGGGGTGAAGTTTTGGAGAAGACGAAGAAAATGGCGTCAACTGGACGCTACGGCGTGGCATGGCGTGAGGCAACGACTCGTGTTCTCATTTTTCATGAGGTAAGACTACAACATTATCCTTGCGTTCATTTTCAACAAACTTACAAGAACAAGTTTTGTATGTGCAACAATTCTGTGCTTTTAGAATACCGCGCTCTATATTCTTGAAGTTTTCGGCCGGCTTGTAGTACTTAACTTGTACCTGAAAATTTTTACACCGAGTTCTTGAATATTTGGTCTTTTCTGACGTCTTTGTAGGATATTGAATGCGTTTCTTTTGTGGCGTGTTGCACTGAGAATGAACGGAGAAAATGTTGGTAGGAAAATATTATTTGCAGTCTTTTTATTGTAGTTTTTCCCTTTTTATATCTCCACGTGGTTAGTCTGTTAGCCACACCTGGGCATCATTAAATACCTTTAATTTTCCCGCCATGAAAGCTCGTAAACAATTTGGCCTGCGCACTTCTTCGGAAATATTTGAATTTGATAGTATGTTTAACGAGTTATATAACTTCAGTTGATTCGCTTTGTTTTTTAAAGTTTGAGGTGAAAAAATGGACGTCATTTCTTTTTGCATAATTCAGTAGCTTTCCTGTGCTAGAATGTGTGTCTTTTTTTACAGATAGCTCCTTTTTTACTGTAAATGTTGCTAGAATATCGAAGGGACAAAAAATTCCTACAACAATTAGAGTTGGGTACTTTTAAGTGCATAATAGCTCTATTCTTAATTTATTTCATGACAAGTCATCCATAGATTTTTTAGTTATGCTGCTAAAACTTTTAGTTAAAGACGAATTTTGCAAAAAAACAAATTATCTAGGATAAGGTAATCACTGTTAAATTTCTTTGTTCTTGATTTCAGGCATGACTTGCCCATATAAAACATACGGATAAAAAAACAACAGTAGAAAATATTACTAAGGTGCATGATACTATTATGTTACGCATTCATCAAAACTTAAAGAAAATTTTATCACAAACTTAAAATTCACAATCACAGTTGTTTTTTTTAGTAGAGTAGAGTAGATTAAGTCAGGCAGAACATCTGTCCAGTTTGGACTGCTCCTTGTTCTTCTCCTCATCCAGGCCATTGTATGGTGGGTTTGAGTGGATGTTCAAGCCTCCTGTAATTATTTTTAACAGGGCTAGGGTAGCTCTCCATGTGACTGTCAAATCTAGCCTTAAACTTTAAAGGCATTCACCAATGGTGCATTTACCATGTTATCTGGCAATGCATTCCACCAAGGTACACTTCTGTTACTGAAGAAGAATGACCTTCTGCTTCTGTCTGACGTTTCCCTGTTTAGTCTCAAGTTATGCCTTCCTGTTTTGTCCCCCTCAGTATTTCTGGTATATCATATACATACTTGTACGTATTTATCAGGTCTCCTGTATAGTAATGTTGCCAGTTTTAGGACTCAGCCTTTCCTCATATGGGAGTTTGTAGAGGCCTGGGACCCTTTTGGTCACACCCCTTTCTACTATCTCTGTTTGCTTCCAAGTAACTAAAGTATTCAAACATGGTATTTTAACCACTCCCAAAAATCGTTACAACTACCTTATTGAGGGCTTGTTTGGAAGAACAACAATTTCCGCAGATTTCTGTCTTAGGAATTTTTAAAATATGGCAGCGAGGATGAATTAACGGTATTTAAAGTTTAAAAACTGCGTTTTTTGCTCTTCTTTGGGGGGGCTGTAATTCGAGTTTTAGTTTAAAAAAAAAATCCTAAGACAGAAAGTTTGAATTTACTGTAATGTTTCTAAACATCCAAAAATCAAACGTTCTTTTTTATATTCGGGGCCCCTTAAGAATCAGTTGTTTGGTTCTTGTGAACTCTTTTTGAAATTGGGAATTGATCTCATTTGGAAGCAAATGTATACAAAGTTCAGCAAAGGCAGTGAAAGAATAACATTTGAGGTAAACAAAATCACTTCTTAAATTTTATGTTGATGAGTATTCACTGCCCAATTACTTTTATTTCTAAATTTTACCTGTTACCCTTGGGCCGGGCCGCGCAGCCATGTTCAAATGCGTTCTGTAACCCGATACCTCCCTAGTATACAATGCGACTTTTAGCCCAGCAACTGACCGCCGTGACTGTTTGATGCCATTTCCTGGCATCAAATGTGCTAGGACAGATATTTTTTTGCCCTGTGTAAATTGGGCCAAAGTGTCAACTTCATAGACAAAATTTCTGACATTTCGTACAGTTTGAAAGTGACTGTGCATCCTTGCCTTCTTTGCAGTCTTACATGTAACTAATGTATCCAACCTTTTCATTGATGACTTCTGTTATGGTTGTTGTTCTTCCTTAACATCTACTATTTAGTTTGTTTCCTATGTTCTTCCTTTTTATATTTTTTTTAGGGATTTGCAATGTTCTTGACATTTAACGTCTTATCATTTTGCTAGACGTAACGTCTCTAGGTGCTGGGTTTCACTTGCTTCATGTTGAAAAATTTGCTTCTATCAGCCTAAGCTCCAAACTGAATCAGTTTCTTTACTTATTCAATCTGTCAGTAGCCTGCGGTACTTAAAGATTTTAGCAAGGCCTTCGACAGTGTGCCACACTACAGCCATAACTAAACTCATACAAATGGGAGCACGGTCCTCTCTCATGCCCTGGGTATGTAGTTTCGTCTTAAGCGTGTTCGACACGGAAGCCAATGTTGGCTAAACTCCTCAATGGACTGTAAAATTGAACTGTTATGAACTCTTCAAGAGCAGCCTTTCCTGTAATGACTCCAATAATGCTGTTTTTTAATAGTGATGATCTCCAACCACCACATTATATCTGTTAATGACATCAATAATATTGAACTTTGTATATATTGTCTTATAAGTTATAATATAACTTTCTTATTGGTTTTACTGAACTTGATGATTGTCAACTTTGGCGTAATTCAGCTATTGCTGCAAGGCCGATTTGTTCCTAGTGTATCAATAAACCATTTACTACAGTAACTACTACTACTTATCATTTCCTTGGTTCAAGTGCATGCAGCTTTAACATACGTCGAGCAATCACAAAACTCAGAATTGGATGTC